TATATTTAGACAAAAAGTACGTCAAAATCAAATCGGAAGCCCGCATTATACGATTAAATTATTAATCATCCGTAAATAAAATATAAGTGAACCTATTAACTGCTAATTATTCTTTAATACTATTATCTTCTTTAAATACAGGCAAGGAAAAAGATTCACTAAGATAGAAATTTCACATTTCTTTGTCATTCTTCTTTTTTATGTAGCACGAACGAAAATATCTCCTGCTTTTCTAAAAACTGTTCTAAACTAACTGATCCCCTAAAATCTTTTCATACGAAAAGGTGGCTGAAGGCTTTTGTACAATTTCCCAATTTGATGATTGTGTGTAACAGAATATCCCTATCTTTATTTCTCAATTTGCCACAGGTGTATACTTTAAACTTTGAAGTATTTCAGTTTTTTTTATTCTGAAGCATCAAGAACAGAACTGTGTAAAACAAGTTGCATAAGTACAGTTCCTGTGAGTTGAAACTACCATAAAAGATTATTTGGTTAAATATTTATTATATTGAAAATGACCTCGTTATTAGAAGAATTACTCATATGGGAAGTGTTACTTGTAGCAAAATAAATCAAAGATATTCTTTTTCTCTTAAATAATACTCCACTTAGTTTCTTCATTTTTAAATTGCCCATTACCTGCATATTTCAAAGATTTCGATATTGTTGAACTTCAACAAAATGCCAAACAAAAAAAAAGAAAACCTATTCTGTTTCAATATTTCTTTAAATAGGGTGCAAATTCATTTTAGCTTTATATATTATCCATTCTCCCCAATTTTGCTATTCTATTTAAAATTAAAGCCACAAGGGGGTTAGAAGTTATTTATTTATTGTGAAACATAGACGTTGGGCGCGGCGGAAAAGAAAAGATTAGAAGAGTTCAAAATGTGGTGTTACAAGCGAATGATGAGGATACCGTGGATAGAGAAGGTTAGAAATGAAGAGGCATCAGAAAGAGTAGGAGAACAGAGGACTTTACGGAAGTTAATAAGAAATAGAAGAGATAGGTTGGTAGAACATCAAAGACATATTAGAAGCAGAAATAAAAGTTAACAGCAGTAGAGTTAGATTAGATTACCGTTCACCAATAATTAAGGATAATGTAGGATATTTTGGTTTTTGAAAAATGCGATGATCAGTTTAGGATTGGAAAGAGTGGAGGTGGGTGTCCGACCAGTCTTAAATTAGGACTGACGACCTTATAATGAATTATAAATTATTAAAACGCCTAAAATTTGGAATCACATTATTATATGACGCAAAAGCATTACCAAATTAGTTTAATCACCTCTACCAAATTTTTTTAGAAATGGTTAATAAATTTAGATGAAATTTATGAAGTTTTGCCACACACCTACAAAGTTTTTCCAATAAATGACTTATTGTTTTTATATATCGGCAATTGTTTAGTCATGGAAGATTAGTTTTAAGATAAAACAGTCGAATTATATTTAAAGTTATGTGNCTGTTAAGACAGCAGGTAAAAGTTGGTCTGTGTTCTGTCGGAGCTGTCTGCGACGCGCTGATGAGATCCAAAAAGATCGAAATCGCGATCCGCGTCTGGCAGTTTCGACAGAATACAGACTACTTCGAATTATTTTATTAAAATACGTTTCTTCATAGCAAAATGGGGGAGGGGGAGATTATGTGTTACGAACCTCTTACGTGGGGGGAAGGCGAGAATTAAAAATTGAATAATTTTGGATTAAGTATTTATAGACGGTCCCTTACCATAAATACCAAATTTTTACTAGTTTAGGCGTTCGCGAATTGTGGAATTTCGTGTTTACTTAAAATATAATATTAAAACGGGATTTCTTCAGATATTTGGGGATGGAGACCTTAAAAATTTGTGGAACAATTATGAAAATTGTTTCATTTGAAATATTAACCCATTGCGTACGAGCAGACATAAAACAGCTCTCTAAATTGGTTCAAAATTGTTACAAACTTAACAGCTACTTATTCAAAATTCTAAAACCAAAATAAAGAAATTATAAATTATTAAATTTAGCCGAACACAACTCAAAAAGATCCACCAAAATCCACGCCACAAAATTTGATATGGAGTGGTTAAATAAATCAAAAATTCCATTCAATTCTTTGTAAAAGAATACTTTTACTTTGTTTTTTAGTTGTCAGCAACTAGAAATTCAAATAACTCACCAATCCCAGTGTCCTTTTTTTGCTGCTAGGATTACCGGTAGGTATAAATGAGAGATTACCGTTGGCGATTAAAATACTAAAACTCACAGAATACAGCAAGAAAAGCAAGCTATTCTTGAAGTTTTAATGAAACTATATTTAGACAAAAAGTACGTCAAAATCAAATCGGAAGCCCGCATTATACGATTAAATTATTAATCATCCGTAAATAAAATATAAGTGAACCTATTAACTGCTAATTATTCTTTAATACTATTATCTTCTTTAAATACAGGCAAGGAAAAAGATTCACTAAGATAGAAATTTCACATTTCTTTGTCATTCTTCTTTTTTATGTAGCACGAACGAAAATATCTCCTGCTTTTCTAAAAACTGTTCTAAACTAACTGATCCCCTAAAATCTTTTCATACGAAAAGGTGGCTGAAGGCTTTTGTACAATTTCCCAATTTGATGATTGTGTGTAACAGAATATCCCTATCTTTATTTCTCAATTTGCCACAGGTGTATACTTTAAACTTTGAAGTATTTCAGTTTTTTTTATTCTGAAGCATCAAGAACAGAACTGTGTAAAACAAGTTGCATAAGTACAGTTCCTGTGAGTTGAAACTACCATAAAAGATTATTTGGTTAAATATTTATTATATTGAAAATGACCTCGTTATTAGAAGAATTACTCATATGGGAAGTGTTACTTGTAGCAAAATAAATCAAAGATATTCTTTTTCTCTTAAATAATACTCCACTTAGTTTCTTCATTTTTAAATTGCCCATTACCTGCATATTTCAAAGATTTCGATATTGTTGAACTTCAACAAAATGCCAAACAAAAAAAAAGAAAACCTATTCTGTTTCAATATTTCTTTAAATAGGGTGCAAATTCATTTTAGCTTTATATATTATCCATTCTCCCCAATTTTGCTATTCTATTTAAAATTAAAGCCACAAGGGGGTTAGAAGTTATTTATTTATTGTGAAACATAGACGTTGGGCGCGGCGGAAAAGAAAAGATTAGAAGAGTTCAAAATGTGGTGTTACAAGCGAATGATGAGGATACCGTGGATAGAGAAGGTTAGAAATGAAGAGGCATCAGAAAGAGTAGGAGAACAGAGGACTTTACGGAAGTTAATAAGAAATAGAAGAGATAGGTTGGTAGAACATCAAAGACATATTAGAAGCAGAAATAAAAGTTAACAGCAGTAGAGTTAGATTAGATTACCGTTCACCAATAATTAAGGATAATGTAGGATATTTTGGTTTTTGAAAAATGCGATGATCAGTTTAGGATTGGAAAGAGTGGAGGTGGGTGTCCGACCAGTCTTAAATTAGGACTGACGACCTTATAATGAATTATAAATTATTAAAACGCCTAAAATTTGGAATCACATTATTATATGACGCAAAAGCATTACCAAATTAGTTTAATCACCTCTACCAAATTTTTTTAGAAATGGTTAATAAATTTAGATGAAATTTATGAAGTTTTGCCACACACCTACAAAGTTTTTCCAATAAATGACTTATTGTTTTTATATATCGGCAATTGTTTAGTCATGGAAGATTAGTTTTAAGATAAAACAGTCGAATTATATTTAAAGTTATGTGCGCCTACTACTTAATTTAAAACACTTCAGAAGAATGAGTAGGTACATATTTATTATAAATAAAACAAACAAATGGTAATCGATAAGAATATACGATTTCATGTGATTAACATATCCACAGAATTATACTGTCGTATTGTTGGTTTAATTTATGGATTCAAAATTATGGTCAACTTACTGAATTGTAACTAGCTATAGATTACAAAATAATTTCAAATTAACTACGTACATTAAAAATTAATTCACGCAAATACTAAAAAATCAAACAATAAATAATTTATATAATATATATCAACCAACTACTTTGAATTGTGATAACTACAGGGTAGTAAATAAGTTTATAATTTACTGACAATTATATTAAATCTGCAACCTACAATGCAAAAGTCGGCCATATTTATTAAGCCACGCCCCAATGTCAGTTCGCAAGAACCAGAGAATGTTCCGTTGATTTCTGATTTTGTCGTGGGTGGCTAGATCGATTACTGTTCGGTTACTACCCGAGAGTGCCGCCGCTGTGCCGAAGACATCCAGAGGTCGTCTGGTTGCTGGCGCGCTCTGGCGGGCACCCATTGTTAATTATCTTCGTCAGTTATTGTCGAGGTTATGTCGTAAAAGGTAGATTGTGTTGTTGTCTCTTGGTTCGTCCAATCAATGTAGTGCCGAGTGAAAGATGGCCGAAGAGCTGCTGGTCACACTTAACAGAAAAGAAGACCTGGGCTTTGGATTTTCGCTTTTGGGAAAACCCGGCCTGCCGCCGATCATTTACAACATCCTGGAGGATTCTCCAGCTGCAGAAAGTGGCGAGGTAGGACCTTAGGCGATCGCGTATTGTGCGTGTCTGTCTGTGTGTGTGTATGAGTGTGTGCTTGAGAATGCGTCCGATGGGTAGAAGTTAAGTACATATTGCAGATTGCATTTGGTGCCGGAAATTGAATGAAACGGAATCGAATTAGCCTACAAATCAGTCGACACCCCGGTTTATCGAAGACGTATTGTGCCGTTGGGGATTTAATTATTCGTCCTGCTAGAGGGCGGACGACTCTCTCTCCTAAAATATCTGTCTGGGTTCGCTCATTTGTTTTTGTTTTTATTAGCTGTGCACCTGATTTTGTTTGCCGTAAAACATTGTTTACATTTGTTCGTAATGTAAACATGAGGGATAATTCTTCGACCTTGCCAATTTGTTTGTTTGTAAGACGTTAATGGGCAATTAAAAATATTTTAATCGAATCATTGCACAGACATAAAAATACATATGTGGGCATTATACTGGAGTCGATTTCTCTCTTCACCTGCATTGCAGTGAAAATTTAGAAACTAAACTGCACTTTACGTCCATTTATATTTATTATCATCGCTCTTTTAGATAGTAATTGCGATGTTTGCTTTCCTTCATTAGCGTTCAAATAAGAAAATTTTTTGCTCGCCTTTATATCCGCTTGATACAAACACGTTCTCGTTGAATAATGAATGAAACTCTGGATCTTTTTGTTTTGTCTTTTCTTATTAATCAGGCTCGTCCTTATTGTCATTCTCGACGTTCGCATTGGGCCCTATTTGTCACGTATTTCATGACCACCGTGCAGGTACTACCCAAAAGAATATGCCATCATAACAGGTACCCACCGATACAAATATATAAAAAGGAAAGATAACAAAAATTGAGCAGGAGAAGATAAATAGCATGACGTAATCTTTTTTGTGTGTGTGTGTGTGTGTGAAAAAGGCCGATTTGTTCTGTCTTCCTATTATTGATCGACTTGGTTTCATTATACCTAGTAATTAACGGACCAATGTTAAGAATGGGCAATAAAATTATGTACCAATTGGCTCTAATTAAAAATTACAACAGCCATGATTGTTGCTGGGCAACGTTATTACGTATAGTTTTGTGTTTTAACAATAGTGTTTATTTAATTGCATTAATTACATTACCAGCGGATCTTGAGAATTCAGGGTCCGATACATAGATTTAGTGATCCTATAGGGGTTCCGTTTTTCATTCGGAACCCTAAAGAAAAGAAAATAAAAGACAAACTATAAAATTCCCAATTAATACGTTTTTACAAGAAATGCATAACTGGAATACGGGGCCTTTTGCGGAGCTCTATAAGTCGGGGGCCCCATGTGTAGTGCAGTGCATCCTTGCATCACCTTATTAAAGATGTTTCTGGTTGAGCAATCGAAATTTCGGGCGTCCAAATTTGAAAAGGGAGTCAAAATTAGATAAAAAGATACGTCACCTTATGTCTTACGACACCTTGGCGGGCGAATTTAAATTGCCTTGAATCACTGCAAAGAGCGAAATTTTGTAGGACTAAATTTGAAAATTAGTTAAAAAGGAACTGAAACTATGAATTATTTCCTTCCATTTTGCAAAAACATAAGACGTATGTCACCTTACGACACCCTGGCACTCGTTTATATCATACAAATTAAAATTGGCTTGAACCACTGTAAAAACCAAAATTTTATGCGTCCAAATTTAATAATTGGTTAAAAATGACGCGAAATTATTAATTATTTTCATAGATTTCGCAAAACACAAAAGACTTGTCATCTCTCAACATCTTGCCGCTTATTTGTACCATGTAAATTAAAATTAGCTTGAACCCAGTGATAGTACAGGGACATTCGCAGTCCCATGTTGCTGGTGGTTCCTATTCATAAAAAATAAAAGTCAAACTACAAAATTTCTAAAGAACCTCCGCAATTTTAGAAGAAATTCATAACTAGAGTGCTGGGTCCTTGTGGGGCCTCATCAGTCAGGAGTCCGAAGCAGAGTGCTTCGTTTGCGCCACCTTGGACATTCCTCTGAATTACATGCACAGTACTTTGCTTATATGCAATTAAATTTGGTGTCGTTGTGGTCGTAACGATTGAGTTATAGAAAGCCTAACGTACAGTTAATAAAATTTTTCGTTGTTTGTATTTTTATTCTCTTTTAATATGGAAGACGACGTTGCTTTTTAATACGTTTTTGTTGAACAAACATGTAATAATGTATTGTGGGTCCAAAATCGTTGTAACTTTAGTATGAGTAATTCCAGTAAAATTTTAATCGCACATTAATTGTCTGGTGGAATATTACTGTATTTGTACAAATGGGTTTGAATGGCTATTGTCAAGGTCAACTTGCAATAAAAAAGTGTGGCAGTTCTCATTTTTGATGAAACTGAGGTGTTTTTTTATGTACCTGAGCATAAAATAAAATTGTCCTCTATGACGAATTTCTAGACCGTCTCTCTGAATAATGTACTATGCATGTTTATGGTCCAAAAAATATAATTAGACGAAATCTCTTTTTTGACTAGGTACTTCTCCAAAGTGGCGTTAAAACCGTAAAAAAATGTCAGAAGTATGTTACGAATGTTTCAAAATGTACAGATGCCTTAACATCGACGCCTATCCTAAATAACGGTTTCGTTTTTCAGGAATTAATTACTTGTTTTAATGTATTTAATAATTTGACAATCTAAATTTCAGACTACGTATAGATATTCTTGTTTTTACTTATGTAACTTCACATTAATGATGAAAAAGAATCAGTCTAAGCAAATTAGACCTTAAAGATGCGTCATCTGAGATAGTATTCCCAATGGGATCTTTTTCGGTTTCAAGGCTACTCGACTCGATCTTGCCATATCCACTGCTTCATATTCCTACTGCTCCTTCCGTCTTGACTTATCTGACTTCCTAGATATCTAAAATCAGCCACTTCTTCTAATTTTTCGTCTCCTATCTTTATATTATCTCTATCCCCATAGAGGCTTACATTTTTATAATTGAAGAAAAAGTTAAATCAACTTCGACACCCCTTGGCGACCATGAAATCGAAAAATGTCCCATTGAAACACTACTAAGGGACGCCTCTTGTAGTCATTTCTACAATAATCTTAGATGGTCATTTCTACAATAATCTTAGATGGCTCATCATCTTGAATAAAACATTTGCATTTGTGATTATTCTTCTCAGGATTGTGAAAACCTTACGTATAAAAATTACTTCTAAAAATTTTTGGTAATCAGGTGTTTAGCATTTGAACAACAAACCAGTCTGTACTTGTTTTGGGTACTTTCAAACCATTTTTATTTTTTTAATTAATTTAAGTCGAGTGAGATAATTTATTCAGTTGTTTTATTAAATCTGCGAAAAGTGAATTTCATGTTATTAAACTGTTGTGTCTGTCTGTCCTTTTATTTATTACAAAATGGAACTTTACGTGATCGACCTTGTTTAGAGGTGAGATCAAAGGAGTCACACCTGTACCTTCTCATAAACAGGGTCGCAACAGCCTTTCGTAAATGATGCATGTTTGAGAAAATATCACGGTTTTGCACTTGAGTGAACAATATCGAAAAGAAAATCTGACACTAATCGGTCTACTATTGTATGTAGGAGTACGTATGGTAATCTCTATTATGTTTATGTATTGTGCTATTATACGTGTCATTATGTTGTAATGATTGCGTATGTAATCCAGATAGGTACATAGAAGAAAGTTTCATAAGAATATGAAACAATATTCGGTTATAATTGGAAGTCAACAAAAAATTGTGAGTCCTTGTTTCGAAAAGAAAGAATTCATAGAGAATATTAAACTCTTAGTCAGCAACTTATCGATATCACCAGATATATTGATAGATTGCGATATCGTACTTTTTTAAATGATTAACCAAAGTTAAAAGCAAGCTACAGGCAGTATATTATCACTACTGATGCACAGGTACTACAGTTTGTACTAAATGTCAGTAGATTGCCTGTCCCTGAAAAGAATTTATTTATGTAACAAAATACAGTAGAACCTTGATAACTTAATCTCGATAACGTAATAACCTCTATAAATTAATAAAATTTTGTGTTCCCTTCCCCTCGAAGTCCAAAACCTCTATTACTTAAAATAAAAACCCTCTATAACTTAAACGAATAATTTGGGCATCGCACCTCAGTAAGCAGTGAAAAGTGGTTTGAATCGGGAGGAAGTATTCTATGTAAAAGACGAAGAATTGCTGCANATTTATTTATGTAACAAAATACAGTAGAACCTTGATAACTTAATCTCGATAACGTAATAACCTCTATAAATTAATAAAATTTTGTGTTCCCTTCCCCTCGAAGTCCAAAACCTCTATTACTTAAAATAAAAACCCTCTATTACTTAAAATAAAAACCCTCTATAACTTAAACGAATAATTTGGGCATCGCACCTCAGTAAGCAGTGAAAAGTGGTTTGAATTAGGGGAAAGTCTTCTATGTAAAAGACGAAGAATTGCTGAATTTAGATAGTGTAGAATTATGTAAAAACATTAGTGTTAGTAGACCTATACTAAAGGAACAAGCTGAAGAGTTTACTAAGTCACTGAAAATCCGTAATTTTAAAGCTTAAATTTAGTAAGTAAAAACCTCAATAACTCAAATTATTTTACGTTTCCTTTGATTTTTATCTTATCGAGGTTCTACTGTATAATATAATCAATGAGTTATTTTTTAATTGTATAGTGTAACATATATTCATATTAATAAAATTATGTGTTTCTTTTTATTTTTCAAATTTCATTTTACTCATATTTGGAGATCAAAATAAAAAAAGTACGGAAGTTGTAGTACCACTTGTGCAACCAACTGACTAAGACTGTCTGATTCGACTCAAAGGGGCCTACAACCCCATGTTTTATCGCACATTACAGAACCCTAAATATAAAATAAGTTAATGCGTGTCTGACACGCTATTGCCTGACTTTTTACGGTATTTGAACAACATCCTCAATCCATCAATATACACGAATACTAACAGGATTTAATAA